ATTAGATAGGAGCTTCGTGCTCAACTTAGTTATCAATCTTATCATATTAGTTTGACATCTTTGATACAAGTAACGAGTTTGCTTCTTAGCAAACACACAGTGATATATTGTCATCTCTCTTCGCATACCAACCTTCGAACTCGATACCTTCAGTTAGATACTGTCACGGATGCCAACAAAGGATAAAGTGTATACAGCTTTTGAATCAATTGCTAGAACTAAAACCGTAGGTACGAAGAAATCAAACTAAAGAGAGAAGAGAATCTGAAAGGAGCGAAGTTATTTAAGTTGTTCCAATGCCAAGTCTCGTCACGTGCTTGGCCAAGCGAATGAAATCCAGCTCCGTCACACTCCTACTTACTCTTAATACTACTCCTAGCTTATTTTACACTCTTCTCTTATTCTATATACATAAACGTAAAGATTACTCGAGGATAATAATAAGGTTATTCCTATTACTAATACCTAGAACTCTTTTAAGTAGGATCTATAGTATCTGTAGTATTATACGTAAGATACTAATACTAAGGAGAACGAATTAGAGTTAGATACGTATTACGATTTATTAGATAGCTAAAGGTAGTTTAGTTAATAAAGCTAAATAAGTTTCTATAATACTAAAAAATTATATATAAATATAGTAAATTTTGATAGCAACGGCAAGATAGCGATAACGAGGTAGTAGTTACGATAATTAGTGTTACGATGTTACGAGTTATCAAGGATACCTAGTCGTATACCGTAAAGTGGCTGGGGGGCCCGGTCACTTCGATGCCGTTTAGCAAAAGTTCGATGCCGTATAGCAATGGGCGAAATTAAGCATCAAGACACCCCCGCTTCTTTCCAGGTGGACAATCGGTCAAAGCCTAAAAAGCTTTTGGCTTACCTGGTCTCAATAAAAATCCTGGAACGCTGAAGGTGTTTTCGTGGCTAGCATTGGTAATCCGATTGTAAAGAATACACAAGCTTTGTAGAGCGTTTTCTTGATCTGATCTTGAGCTAGTGTAGCGATAGGAGAGCAGATTTTGATAACTCGGACAAATTGATAGACGAAATACATCCACTTCTTTTTATTTGGTCCGGTCTGTTTCTTTGTGGTTCAATGCAGGTGATGTGTTCGATAGCTCGCTTACTCGGCTCTGCCTATTTTTAAACGTCCCAATACTCGTATCTGCCGATCATACAAAAGTCTTCGGCCCATACGATTTACCAAATACAGAAACAAGTCCATACCATGCTGATCATACCGAGTGACGTCTAAAATTCTTTTTTGAGGATACTTTTTTGAGGATACTTTTTTGGCGAGGGTCTTGGAAGTTTTTACGACTGGCCCATTTTGCATGGAAGTGTAGGTAGTGCTTGGGGGCTCTACTCGCACGTTTTTGATTCTTGAATTTGAAATCTAGGGAAATCACGTACTTTTGGAAGTAGTGTATTACTAAGGCTTGTTTGTCTTCCAAGAATGACGTGAGATTATCTAGAAGAATATAATGATATTATTGGAAACGGGTGTATTCTTCAACCCCACATAAATTTACTTCATAAAACGGCCGAAGATTACGGGTGCTGGTAATCCCTAAAGATCTGTCCGAGAATATCCTTGTATTAAGAAACCAAGAAACCTAGAACCCAGTCTGCTTCATGCATATTGCTTGGCTTGCTAAATTCAGTGGTACAGCTCCAAAAATTCAAAAAGTGTCACTTTATATAAAGTAGAAGTCATTTCTGGTCTTTCCTGGTTTCTTACCTGCCTTTTTTTCGCCCCTCTTTTTTTTTTTTCTTTTTTGCTCTCTTTTGGGATTTCTTCTTCCACTCACATTCGTTACACGTTACTACATTCGCTTCACGATTTAAGCTCTATTCATTTCGCATCACAACCAATATACACCACATCTGTTACAACCTGATCTTTTCCAACCTTGAATCAACAGCGTCCAAGTTCTTATAATGTTGGTTCCGAACGTCTTTACGGCGACGGCAGTTCTTTCTGCCTTTGTTGTTGGACTTCCTTTAGGGGCAAGCAACGATGCCCTCATTCAACGACAGAGTATCGCAACGGAGGTCGAGCAGGAGGATCCTTCTCTTGATAAGAGAGCAAGAATACGATTTACTATTGGACCAGTCGCCAAGACCAAGTTTAAGATAGGACGGTCAGAGAGTAGACCTGCAGGTCATGTAACTAGGAGGACGGATGATAATGGAGACCTTCCCTACGCGACATCTCCACCCGATGAAGGCGGCGTTCTGACTAAGAGAGTGCTCAGACCAATACCCAAAGGAGGGGGGTCCTCTACTCAGCTACCACCATGGTTCCCAAGATTTACAAAGCATCATACAAACGCTAAAAGGCAAGACGTTGTGGATTCTGTTTCAGATGAAGATACTACAGCCCCTTTGGCGAAGAGAGTCACGCCCTGGGGCACAAGCGAAAATCTTGTCAAAGGAGGTTCGATTGAGCTCATTGGTAAACCAATTCCCAAAGGATCGCTCGGTAATCCGCACTCGCCAAAGGCAAAACCCCCCGTGCAGGCAAAACCCCCCGTCCAACCGGTCCGAACGTCGAGGTTTAATATTCCAAATTTCAATCTTCCAAAGTTCGGCTTAAACAAACCACCAAGGCCTCCGAAGCTCGCGTAGAGGCCCCTGTGGGTCTTTTGAAGACCATGGAGCGAATATTATCTCAACGGAAGCCGAAAAAGCCAGAAGCTGCCGGATGAGGAAGCCTATAGATTACACGTGGTGCATCCAGCGTTTTGGAAAATTTAGGCATATGCCTTCAACAAGCCCGTTATTCATCTCCCTGCATTGTTAATTATGGAAACTTATGACTATACATCGGGCTATCTACCATTAATATATGGAAAAAATCGTAATAAAAAATGTATTTAACGTTATTTTATCATATAAGACGAGTATTTCTACTTCTAAGTAAAATATTAAGTACTTAGTAAGCTAGGACAGCTTAATTTACAACCCCATATAGTTAACCTCTTATAATCCACGCTTAGCTAAGCTGTACCAAGACAGACGGCTAAGAACGGGGGGGAGGGGGAGAACAATAATCCAATTAATCCGTAGTAAAGTGGAGACTTATATTCTACTAACGCTATTTTTTAGCCCTAACCCTAATTTCAACCTGCATGTAGAGGAAGAGTTAAGGCAGAGGGAATTAGCTAGAGTTCAATGGCGAGTAGGTAGTAATAAATTTAGTAAAACTAAGTTAAATAGCAGACAGGTAGTTAACTACTGGCTTAGCAAAAAGGTTTTAATAACGTCGTGTGAGGGTTGGAACCCATGATGGAGGCTCGGGCCATGCCCTCGCTAAGCACTGACCAAAGTCCCCGCTCAGCATTGGCCATTGCTCCACTGCTAAATTGGTTTCTCCTTTTCTACACTTTTCTACTCTATTCTTTTGACGTCACGTATTTGTCAAACAGTTTCTTGGAAGACTCCAGAAACTCTTCCTCTCTCTATATATAGAGAAAGAGATTGCATGTATGTAGTCTTCACGCACTTCTTAATTGAATATTCGAAACCACACCTTTGAGCTATTCGAGGTCTGGCCTCTCACAGATAGTTCCAGCCAACTGTTAGACGGGAAAAGATAGACTAGCAAATTTTCAATCATAATACTAAATAGGTCTTAGGGATACTCTGATGAAAACGTTCGATAAAACGGCCAACTGTATTTGTCAATATCCTCAAGTAACAAACAAAAGATACAGAGGAAATTTCCTCTACAATTTCTCTAGTGTCTAACTAAGAGTATATAATTGCTGAGCTTAAAAAAAGAAACTATTGCTAGATCGCTCCCAGAATTCACATGTCTATGCAGACAAAAAGCGAAAGATAAAAAGACACCTGATGCCAAACAGAATCACCTCACAACAAGTCACTCACGTGACTGGTTTTGTGGAAAACCAAAAAAGCCAGCGTAGAAAGGGCAAAGTTGAAGCTCAGACGCCATTTCTCAAAATAGAAACGAGGGACAGTAACTGTTTTCCTACTGTACTTGTTGAGGTTTAGGCTTACCCTGCATAAGCACTATGGATGGGTTAGAGGTGTATTTGGGCCCTGTGATTGGCTGTTTGGGGATGTGTTTTGTCAATGAGGAGTTCAGACTGCGAGAGGTAGAAAATAAACGTGATCATAGCAATCAGCAAGAACAGAACCTCCTTTACTCCATCCACTTCACAGATTTAGAAAAGTTTATCAGCACAGACGAGCATTTTCAAGTTAGTTGCAAGGTTCAATATGTTGCAAATATGACGGCGTAAAACATGATCATATCATACCAAATGACATTCTGGATCCAAATAATCAACCTTTGCTCCAAGCGATTGGGATCTCTTAGTTATAGGAAATTGAAATATTGGGTTTTCTTGTCTACGACTGAGATTGGTGTATGTTTGAGGTGTTTGTTTTTTTGTCGCAGCTAGAGGGAATTGCGCAGCAACACTAAGAACTCCATCAACGCTCATTCTACGAGAGACTTTTGAAATTGGTTGTACTTGGGAGAGGAACTTTTATAACAGACTTTTGTATGTTCACTAAACAACTTAGTTTGAATATGTGTTTGAAAGTTTGAAAGAATTAAAATAGTGTGTGTACTGATGGAAAAGTGCGGAATCGAAAAGTTCACACGAAGGATAATTAAGGTAGGAAGAGAATGACTATAAAATATGGGATTTTATTTTTTTGTTCTTTTTGAGATAGTTAAGGAAATACTCAGCTTAGTGTTCAAAAGGGGGTTAGGGTCATATCATGTTAAACTCCGGACAAAAAAAGAGAAAGATAAAGCAACGCACTTACGAAGCTACAAGGTCAGTAAAGATCTTGACTCGCCATTTCCTTATTTTGCCTTCTACATCCCTCTGACATCCCCTCAAACTCGGCTGAGAGGGGGGAGACGGGGCTCACAGGGCTGTTGACCTGAGAGTAAGAGACAAAGCTTGAGGGTGAGCTGATCGACTCATTGTGGGGATCCCCTCCATGAATTGAAAGAGATTCTGTAGAGGAAGCGGGGGCAAATTCTGGCTCAAGATTCAATGGAAACGCAGAGTGTGAGGCATCAGGCTCGGTGAAGTGTGATGAAGTCGGAGAGACTGGACTTACCTGGCTGTTGAACTCTTCGTTTCCTAGAGGGAGCGACTCCTCAGACGAGACCATTGCAAACTCTGGGTCGGTAGTCAACGGGAATACCGAATGCGAAGTTTCAGGCTCGGGGAAGTGTGATGAAGTCGGAGAGACTGGACTTACCGGGCTGTTGACATATTCGTTATCCATAGGGAGCGACTCCTCAGACGAGGCAATCGGAAACGCTGGGTCAAGAGTTAGTGGAAAGGCAGAGTGCGAGGCTGTTGGTTCTTCCTCGTCCTCTGAGCCCATAGCTTTCTCGACGGTTGTCTGGTGGAACGGAGTGGGGGCTCTGACGATGGGTGGCTTTGGCGATGCTGAACGAGGCGTTACTGGTCCATAACTCTTGAGGATCTCCCTGAATGGTGAAATCCGAGAAGGCGTAAGACGTGAAGCTGGAACAGTGCGAGGACTTACAGGAGTGCTGTTCCTTCTCGGTAGCTGTTCTTGCTGTTGTTCGTATTCCTCATCCTCGTCATCGGAGCCAATAACGAATTGGTCATCGTCGAAAGGAGAATCGGGAACCCTAGGAGGGTCGATATGGTGGAGATTGAACTGATCGCGCCCTCCACTTGTATAAACCGCGTCCGGATATTCATAGCGATCAGTTACAACTGGAATTCCAAAATTGTGAGCCGCAGAGGGCGATGATGGAGGAGGTGGGGGTGGGTACGAATTATATGGTCCTCCGTGGTTTGGTGGGTAAAACCCACCCGGGTATTGTCCAACATACTCGGTCCCCACTGGTCCCATCTCCAGATCAATCCCACGGTGTTGAAGCTTATTCTCCTTAGCCTTGGCCTTTCGATGGCGGTAGTAAGAAAATACACAAATGGTGATATCAAGGAGAGCAACAAAGCCTACAAAGGCACCAAGCCCTAATACCCAGGTCGGTATAGGTAGCTCCCCATCTGATGAAGTAGTTGCTGAAGTGGTTGGAGATGCCATAGCGGCTGTGGTGCTTGGCCGAACGTGTGGGGGACGAGGTCGTACAGAGGATGTTGGAAAAGTGGTTCGTCGGCTGTGAGCTGAGGCTGAGCGAGATGAACTTGTTGCAAAAGTCATGTCGATGGTGCGTGTTACAGAGTAAGAAACGGAAGATTCTAAACCATGATTTATAGAAGACAATAGGCATTGTTGTAAAACATTTCTTTTATCTTCAAAACAGGTCTTTGACCATCAAAAATATGGGGTTCAAAGGTGGGCAAAATGGTGCTGATACAAAGGAATTGGGGAATGGATAAAGAAATCCCAAGCGGAAAGCATTGCCCCTTTCATACCCTCGCCTAAGCGAAGTCTTCCTTGGACAAAGAAATAACTCTGTTTAGAAGTCAAAACAATCAGCAATCGAAACAATCGAAACAATAAAACACCCGTATATCCAAGAGTATATCAATTCGTTCCATCTGTATACCAGATATTCCGATCCATCAAACTTCTTGTGTAACTCCTAGGGAACTAAAGCTAGCACTTTTATTTTCTCAACACGCATACACAAAACCACCTAACAACACTACCCAGAAAAAATGGCACCTATCTTTCAACGTCGAGGGCTTTCTTCTTCCAAGTTTCCTCAACTCATACCTGGAGAATCTTATGAAACAAAAAAGATTCAACTTGTGCACAACCCTCAGCCATCTCCCACCGTCACAGCCACAGAATTCACACAATCAATTGAGGAGTGGATTGACACCGTTGAGAAAGAGACGGGACCTGACGCTGTACGTATCCATATTCCAGGGATATACGATAACGAGGTATTGTCCGCTAAGTCGTCACCAAACACAGATGATATGGTTATCGAGGAGATTGTTGATAGCTATCTTGATGGTTCTAATTCTGATTCCTGTTATAGTGAAGCAGCGTCTGATGCTGTGACGCGTGTTATAGCCCATGAAAGTGGTGCTGACGTCAAGGCTCAGGGCTTCGTCGAGGCCCTGGAGAAGACGCTCGGTAAGAATCCAATTTCTCCCTCTGAAGGAACTGGCCCTGAGGAAGTATATCTTTTGTCTCCTGGAAATGTAGAATGTCACGACCACCTCAGATTCAAGAACGACATCTATGGGCAGCACCCATGGACAGACCTCGAAATTGTCAAGAAGTGTCGCAAGTTCTCCGATCTAGGCGGAGCGCAACACTTCCCACGAGATAATTGTCAATGTCGCAATTGTGACTTTTTTCGCTCAGAGGTAGAAGTTCGACGTATCATGACCGCTTTCCCGCGTGATCTAGTCCCCTCCCATCTCAAGTATCGCTTTGATCAATATCACGAGCGCCAAGAATAGCAGCCAGAATCCTCGTTGCAGAGCCCTAGCTACTTTGGACGTGATACTCAGTTCGAGCGTTACTATATCCATTTTGGTACAATTTTCAGACAACGAGAACAATGCCTGAAGGATGATTTTGCAGTCTTCTATGCTCTTTCCAACTGGTTTGCGACCAATAAAGGTATCTTGATACCTGATCTGATTGATTCTCTCTACGTAGATGGCGAAAGCACAGAGGACAATGACGCCAGTTTTGAGCATCCGTCTAAGCAAGTCAACTATATTCCGAAATTGGGACTGGCTCCTCCTTCATTTGAAGACTTGGAGGTCCAGACCAAGCAGGTTTTAAATGAGAAGAAGGTGCTGGAGCAGCTATACGATCTTTGCTCTCCGGGGGCTTTAAACAAGCCTCTGACTTGCGACGACGCTGAAGACTTGCTTGATCTGGTGGATTCGATGGACATCGATTCTGCATGAGTAATTGAGACAATTAATTGTTTATCCACTCAACGGAGGAACTGGTTCGTAAGAACTGACCTCTATGGTATTTAACCCCCCCAATTTACGTCCAAGTTGTCATGATAACCCTTTTTAAAATAAGAAAAACTTGAAACAATCTATTTGAACCCTTGAATATATATTCCTCTTGATGAGATTTTGTGATATTAGGTCTAGCTAGTTGTGACAATTTTGGGATTTTTTAATTTCCACCTAAGCCTTGAAGGGATGCGACGACTCAACACCTGTACGCGGTGCATCCTACGAACCTTTAGCTAGGGCTTTCGAGCCCTAGTCTAGAGAGCTAAGATTGAGTCCTTCTGTCGCGAGTTGATCGCGTACTCGCGTACTAGGGAGATTTTCCAATTATCGAATAACAACTAACGATTCCCGACTTCTGGCAACAGCTACGACACGACCACTCTCTTGACTCTTACTTCTATAGTCCTCGACTATTGCCTTACCTCACTCCTCTTCTGCCCGCTATAAGATTCCCTACCGAGCTAGTCTTCTCTATAGATCTATAATACTATATACCCCCTGGCTAGGGAGGAACGGCGTAGTAGCTGTATTTGGAGGGGTAGGGAGGGCTCACTCGCCTAGGGGGGGGGAAAGGGGGGCACGAGGCTATATACAAGGGAAATAGGATAGGTAGGGGGTTTGGAATAGCTGTAAAAGGGTTATTTCGGGGTTTTAAGGCTATTTCGACAAATTCGCGCCTTTGTGTGTGTACTAAGACTCTTGATAGGGGCTGGTACCATCCTTTGAGGCTCTGTAATCCGACACTTACCCTTAGCGAAAGGACCAGGGTACTAACTATACCTAGTCTAGGGCTGTCTAAGGGACTTTTGATTTCGTTCGAGTATCTGGGTCCTAGGCTATAGACTCTGGCGTCTGTCACGGATGCCAACAAAGGATAAAGTGTATACAGCTTTTGAATCAATTGCTAGAACTAAAACCGTAGGTACGAAGAAATCAAACTAAAGAGAGAAGAGAATCTGAAAGGAGCGAAGTTATTTAAGTTGTTCCAATGCCAAGTCTCGTCACGTGCTTGGCCAAGCGAATGAAATCCTGTCAAATGAAATCCAGCTCCGTCACAGCGTCGGGGCTATACGTCGTTCCCGATTTATCTTACCCCTATTTAGGCAAGTTACAACCGCTCTCTTCCTAAACGGGGTAGAGGAGGACACTTAACATGCCTTTTAGCTATAGCTTTACGTACGAAATGCTTTCTCTAGTTTATAATAGTACTATAACACTGCGGGATCAGGGACTCGGGCTCACTCTAGGAGGTCTTTTTAGCTATCTACGTTTTTGGCTAATTAGAGTAGGATATTATATATAAAATCTGTAGTTTAGTACGCCCTTATGCCCTTCGGGAGGCCCAGGAAATCCGGCTTGATCCGGTGCTTCGTACTACCGGCGCAAAAACACTACTACTACTACTACTACCTAAGCCTTGAAAGGTAATGAACCTCCAGTTCGAAAGTATCTTAGAAAACCTACAAAATAAATTAATGTCACGATATCTTTACGTGTTTATTCGCGTGATATCCAGGGCTATATATATACGCCTGGATTCCACTTAGCAGACAGATAATTAATCATCTGCTACTACTACTTTTGTACCTTTTGCTGTCCTTCGTCGTACTATTTATGTTACTGTTTTGTACCTATAATGGCATCTCCTACATGCCCTTATTATCCCACCAAGTTATACCAACAATTAACAAGTCGCATATAATCAAGAAACCACACTCCACCTCCCTGGTGGAGCCTTGTCCCAGAATAAGGATATACGAGTATCTGCAGAACGGTCTCCGTAAATAGTACTCTAAGAGGTCCGATCATTACTCTGTACACATAATATAAAATGTTATCATACTAAACTAAACCTCTTATATAATTAAAACAATTTTCTTAGCATAGCTATATTTCTAATGACTAACAAGGAAAAATTACTTGACTTATTTGTATAGCCATTTGAGTTGCGCAAGGCTTAAAGAATAATATTATCTAAGAGGTGTCTACAGAGTAACGACGACGTCTCTTAAAATTTGATACAGTAAATGGACAATCAAATTCATTTGTGTGCTCGGAAGGAGCCTCTACTACTCTAGAAGGTAATACGCTTCCACATATGTTCAACCGTAAACCGTAACGAATGTTCGAGTCTCAAAGGCTTGTAGTCATATCCTAGTTTACTCTATTGTTCTTCTAGCAGGACGTTTTGTCATTGGTCCGAAAACGTAGATGAAGCTAGCTGTAGTGCAACTAGTGCCAAGTCTTTCTTGTGATTTCTCGCGAATGCACGCTTCCGCTTTCAATGAGAAAGATAGAAGCCTTGAATATCCAACAAGCATGTTATCTATGAAAAGTGTCAATCCGACGTCCTATATCCCGCTATCGGATGTTGTTCATTACAGCTCTCATCCAATTGGCTTATTTTGTGACATCCAGGTCAGTCTTTACATCTTCTCCTTGAATCTCACAAACATCTCCGGCTTCATATATATCCCCCAGCCCCTCAAATCCCTATCCAAGTCCACCTCCTGCCCTATCACCATCTCCAAATCAAAAGTCCACAAGGTTTTCGCAATGAACAAGCGACTCTGCCACCAAGCAATCACTTTTCCTGGGCATGCTCGAGGGCCCTGACTAAAAGGGTAGAAGCCCTTTCGGCTGTCATTTTCAAAACGCGGCTCATATAGTGCATGCTCCTTGGACAGCCACCTCTCCGGGCAGAAAGTTAAAGGCTCGTGAAAGTTGCGTGGGTCCCGAGCTAGGCCGAAGGTGCTACTCTGGCAGACGACCTAGAGATCCAATCGTTAGTGTATTTTGTCAGGTATGGGATATGGTCTGCCTACTCCTTTGGGAATGAAAGTCCCGTCGACCACCGCACCTGGACTGATGACAGGCATTCCATTAAGAACCGATGGCATGACACGCAATGATTCTTGAAGGCAGGCAGTCAAATATGGCAAATTCGCTGCGCCGCCTGGTGTAATATCGTGGTAGTTTTCGAAAGCATACCTAATTTCCTGGGTCAAAACATCCAAAGTTCTAGGATTCTTCACAAGATAAAAGATAGTGTGGTATAGCCAGATTGCCGGCGGCTCGTAACCTGCAACTAACAATTGCCCCGCGACCTGTTCGAGGTGTCTCATCTCGAATGGATCTTTGGGAGGCTCTCGATCTTCCGGAACAATCTGATCAAAGAAGTCAAGGTGCTCGACGGCACCTTTGCGTCTGATACGAAGTTCCAATTGTTGACGACTGTGCTTTCTGATGTGGGAATGGTCTTTCGTCGAAGCCAATGCTAGGAATAAAATACTTGAAGGGACTGAGAAGTGGAAAGCGCCATGATGCTTGGATCACGGTAATAGCTTTGTTGAAATCGGCGAGAATGGTTAAATATTGCGGATCTTTCACTTGTTTTAGGTCAGCTGTCGCTCAAAGTTTCTGTATAATGGATACTGTAAGGGGGAATCTTACTATCTCGCATAGCATTCATCTCTCGATTGTACGCCATATCGGCTGAGATATCCACGCACAGCCAATTAATCCAAGTAGGCATACTGACTCCTTTCTCTCCTCCACCAACCTTTCTTATCTGCTCAACAAATCAATCGACATAACTGTGAAGAGTCGTCTCTTTGGCTTTAAGTGCCCGCCCACTGAAAGCTGATGATAACTGTTTTGCCACCTGGCGGTGTCGAACGGGATCCCATTCCCATATGAGGCCGCCATGTTTATCATTTCCATGGTTCCCTGCTTAAATCTTGGGAAATAACTCAAGGTTTTTGTGATGAGAGCTATAAAGATCTTTATTATTTTAGTTTGTCTCAAAGTTGGGCTTGTCGCTGCCAAACTGACCGGTCATAGCCTGTGGGGTTACGAAAAGTAACTCATTAGGAGTAATCCTGACAACATCGCCTGTTGCGAACATCACCATCAGTAAGTGAATTGTGTAGAAACATGTTGCACAAACCATATTTTCTGAGTACGTCTTCGGCCACCCAGGGCCATCGTCCTACCAGTCTGTATCGGGATAAGCCAATGATAATAGCGTCACTATGATTTTGCAAGTAAGAAAAAACACTTGCGGGGTTACATACGAGCGATATGCCCACTGTGAGAGGCCAGACCTTGAACAACTCAAAGGTGAGGTTTCGAATGTTCAATTAAGAAGTGCGTGAAGACTACATACATGCAATCTCTTCCTCTATATATAGAGAGAGGAAGAGTTTCTGGAGTCTTCCAAGAAACTGTTTGACAAATACGTAACGTCAAAAGAATAGAGTAGAAAAGTGTAGAAAAGGAGAAACCAATTTAGCAGTGGAGCAATGGCCAATGCTGAGCGGGGACTTTGGTCAGTGCTTAGCGAGGGCATGGCCCGAGCCTCCATCATGGGTTCCAACCCTCACACCCACCACGCATCAGAAATAGCTGCAAGCTTTGGACCAGGGTACTTGGCCAAGGGGTGGAAGTACAAGCGCCAAACTGAGCGAACAACCACAAGGAAAACAGCCTGCAAAATCGTCAATAGCCATCTCAAAAGAGTCCTGAATATAAACTTACAGTCTTAAGAACTAAGATGATCGGCTGCTGAACATCAGTGTAGGGAATAGTACAGTACATGTAGTACATAGTACAAGACAAAATCTGCAAAACTGTACTGTAGTTTTAGTGTAATTAGTAGAACTGTAATGTAAATGCTATAAACTGTACTATACGCGTATAGTACAAAAAACTGTATGAAATTTGGGTGTAAAAGAGTTGATTTTGAAGCGATATTTGAAGCTAAATTTAGTCCAAATCCAACGCTCGCAACAATCGCTTTAACTTCCTTTACAACTCGCTCGTCGTCCTCAAACTCTAGCTGTTTAATTATCTTTTTAATCTTTATTACAGAGGCTCCTGCGGCGGCATAGTAGTAATAGGAAAGTTCGTAGTATAGAGTATGTAGATGCGAAAACTCACGATAATCTATAGGACGATTGTATAAAAATTTAAGGCGGTGGGCGCTAAGCTAATTAGAGTACAAGAAATTGTCAGATATTACTTAAAACAGCTAGCTTATGTTGGATTTCCCCAAATCTCCGAGCATTCACCCTAAAACCCACCTAAAAGAAGTATATATATATGTATTTAAATTATATATCTGTAGTACAGTACAATTCATACAGTTTGCTAGTTTTAGATTGATAAACTGTACTAACCAGCTAGTATATAAAATAATTTTCAAACCGTACAAAAGTTATATAAACTGTACTGTACTGCAGTACAGTGCACTATACACTGTACCTATTCCCCACACTGCTGAACATTACAAAAGTCAGATAGATGAACCCCCAATTCCATGGTTATTTCAGTGTCCGATAAAAAGCAGCAGGTGGATGAAGAAGAAAAGAAGTTAAAAACAGTCAGTCGACTAAATTCGAGCCAACTGATGTTTCATTGGGAAGGGATGCGATTCAATGTTGGTATGCGGAACTCTCGCATATGCGGGCATATAAAACCAACAAACGAGGCCAGCCAATGAGAACTCCCTACCAACATCGCCTCATACTGTAGCCGCAGCAGTACGGCACGGATGAGAGTTCCAGAGCTTTCATTGAAAATAAATAGAACACTTGAATTCTTGTGTCGTTTGAAATTTATTGTCTCATGGAAGTAAAGGGGCTCCTTGGATATTCTGGTTTTCGTGCAATATCATTGATCAGGTCGACTCTGGATACACAGCCAATTATGGTTCTTTAATCATGAAACATAGTATATACTTGGTAGAAACTGGTTCGTGAATTTAGGGAGTTCATATAGTAATCAAGGTTTAGGGGAAGTATGATTTGAAAAGGGATTTCACCACTAAACATGTTCCTAACGGAAATCACAGAAATCCTATTGTTGTGTTACTTTTCCTTGCTTCGCAGTAACAATTCTTGAGTCGAATATTTTATCTCAAAGAGTCTCGCTTAATAGTATGTGATAGTGCTTGAAGAGAAAGTGCACGAAGCCTACTGGTGGAAAATAAAGGTTGTGCCACTTATCCACAATTCAATAAACAAACTTGGCAAGCCCTTGGAAGCCTTCAGCGTATTTCGTATTTCATGGAAAGATTCCGTGATGATGTGAACCCGCTCGACAAAGACATCCTTGGCTACGCAAAGCAATAGTATTCTTTCACGTTGAGACTGAGTAAACAACCCTGTTGCCAAAACAACAACAGAACCCCAACTACCAAACCTCAAAAGCAAACAACTCTTTCAACCGAATTTCCAAGATTTTAACCTTATATACTTATATTCAATATGGGCACTTCCTAAGCATAACAACGAGATTCAACCTGGAGGTACTTACTACCTACCTAGCTACTCGATTAGACTAAATACTCGAGTATCCAAAACCATCAAGAGAAAACCATACATTGGATTAAAGTTATAAGGTTATTCAGAGTCGGAGCTTCCGCATCCAGCTACCAGTACCGTACCGTAATGCCCCCGGCCAGCACGTAACACGTAATTCACAACACGCTGTCCAAATGGCCGAGGTAATTCCCCACGGTGGGCACAGGTGCAGATGAGCTCCAACCCACACCAATCACAGCCACTCCCAGGAAATTGGAAGAGTGTTCTGCTTGGCATGGGCGGCCCCTTTCAGGCTGCGGCTGGGCTGCCAGCTTCCAGCAACAAAAAGTTGAATTGTCTCCCTAACGTCCCTTCCAAACACAAACACGTTGTGCAATTCGTCCTCTGTGTTGTGTCTGACCAACGTCGACTTGGTTGCTGGTCCGTCGTGCTTTCTCGTCGCTCCTTACTCGAGATCTCTTCTTACCTAATTTGTTTTTAATTGTCCCCGTCCCCGTAGCCGTACCAGTACCAGTACCCTTCGGCATATCCTTTTTGCCTCTGACGCAAAGTGGCTGGAGAGCGGTGCGAGTACTCCGTATAGGACGGGCAGCACTTTTTTGCTCCTCTCGAGTCTGACAACGGCACCGACTTTCTTGGAACTTCTCGCTTCCAAAAAAGGGCAGGTTCACGCGTCATTCTCGCAGTTGCGACTCAGCGCTCTCTCTCTGTCCTCCCAGATCACCAGAATTCGCTCTCTCACGGCCACGGCTTTGCCCATCGAGAACTCCTCTGCCACGCCATCATGTCTTCTGCCAATGCCGACCTCCTCAAGTCGATTCCCCTGCCGAGTCTCGAGCACCCATTCGGTGTGCCATTATGGCCCATATTCGATAAGGCCTTCACGGCCGTGAAAGGGTATCATCCACAAGATTTCAACTTCCAACCCCGAGTGACGCCAATGTCCACCTTGAAAGAGACGGCCATTACGATTTTCACATACTATGTGGTCATCTTCGGGGGGAGGGAATTGATGAAGAACCGGGCGGCCTTCAAATTGAATCTGCCATTCATGATCCACAACTTCTACCTGACCACCATCAGTGCCGTTCTACTTGCACTCTTTGTTGAGCAGCTTGTGCCAACTCTTGCCAATCATGGGCTTTTCTATGCTATCTGCGATGTGAAGGGTGGATGGACTCCTCCTTTGGTCATTCTCTACTATGTAAGCTCAATCTCCTGATCGGTGCCGGGAATGCCTCGTGCTAATTTCTGCCAGCTCAACTACCTTACCAAGTACCTCGAATTGATTGATACCGTCTTCCTAGTCTTGAAGAAGAAGCCATTGAGTACGCGAATCCCCTCAAACGTAACCAAAAATAATTGCTAACATTTCCGTAGCCTTCCTCCACTGCTACCACCACGGTGCCACCGCCGCCCTCTGCTATACACAATTGATTGGTCTAACTTCAGTTTCATGGGTTCCTATCACATTGAACTTGATGGTTCACGTTGTTATGTACTGGTACTACTTCCAAAGCGCGCGTGGAATCCGCATTTGGTGGAAGGAGTGGATCACCCGTCTCCAGATCATCCAGTTTGTCATTGATCTTGGTAAGGCCAACGCCCCTATTCAATTGAATCCCATTAACTAACCATCCCATTAGGATTTGTCTACTTTGCGTCCTACACCTACTTTACCTCGACCTACTTCCAATGGATGCCAAATGCGGGTAACTGTGCTGGAGAGGAATTTGCTGCTTTCGCAGGAATGGGTATAATCAGCTCTTACTTGGTCTTGTTCATCTCATTCTACTTTGCCACCTATAAGAAGGATGGAAAGCGACCTACTGGACGAAAAGCTGCTCGCTCTTTGGTCGACGCAAAGCTTCCAGACGTCTCCGCAATCCTCGATACCAAGCCAACTCCTTCCAAGAAAAACGGACATGCCGTCTCCAGTGGTACCTCCCCAAGCCCAAGAGTCACCCGATCGCGCAAGGCCTAAGCCTAGCTATGAGAAAGTCGAGTCGCAATCGAGACGAATGTTGGAGCTTTCAAAGGCCCAAAATCGTGGACTCTGCAGACCCGGATAATGAATGAAATGCGTTGGGTGGAAGGGGGTGTGGACTTTTACGCCCTTATCCATTTGAATCTGCCTGTTCGATAGATTCGTATGTCTAAAATTCTCTGTACAATGGAAAAAGATAACTGCGTTTTTTTTGTTTTTACTTTCCCTTTTACACTTTCGCTAATCCGGTACCCTGGACACATGGGCCGCTCCTTTTCTGGGCGTTTTGCTTTAGAGAGAGAAGAAAAACGGGATGAATAGAGATGTGAAGGGAAGAATAGGAAAGCATGGAATAGGCGCGAGGGAGGCAAAAACGGTGCTTTAACACTTCTGTTTTCTTCTTTTTTTCTTTTGTCGATATGCATGGTGGGGCAGGGGATGGGAGGGATGAAGGGCAAGGAAGGGAAGGAAGGTGTGGTGTTGGTTCCTTGGGATATTTTCGTGTGTGAGATAGAGGGTGGGAGGTTATAGTAATAGAGAGGATGGTATACCTACTTAATGGCTGTCGTGGGTTTTTTTTGTCTCATGTGGGTTTGTGCGGATTTCGTGTATGTGAATGTGAATGACTCGGGGTTTGAGGGGTTTGAGGGGTTTGAGGGGTGGATGTTGGGGGGTTTGGGGAAGGTGTTTATGCGTGAGGCGATATACTTTGTGGGTTTGCCACTGCTGAGCTGGGGTGTGGTTTTGGGGTGCGGGTTGGGGATCGTTGATACGTAGGGAGGGGGGGTTGTTTCTTGGGTAGATTATCTTGGGCTGAGCTGCATAGGTGGCGATGGGGTTGAGTAGTTATAGTTGGATGTAATCTTACCGAGACGTTTAGTGGTAACACCAGTTTTTTTTTACCAGGGTGTGAGACTTGTAGGGGTAAGTACTAGGGGATCTACGTACCCGACATCCGCCCGGGACTATAGTCTATTTGTTGTATTACGGACGTATATTTAGAATACGTCCGTAGTTTTTAATAGCTAGAAATATAATTATTATATACTCAAGGTAGAAATATATAAAAAGGTTATACGTAAGAGTATATAGTTATAAGAGTTATATATAAAAATCTAGTAATTAAATTAGATTAATCTTATAATAAATATATAAATTTATTTATTTATTTATTTATTTATTGCTATTTAACGTCAAGCGGAGTCTAGCTCGCGTGGGCTAGGTCCTAGAAGAGTCCCAATATGGGCAAATGACGCTAGGGGGGTGCCCTAGGCTATAGGGGGTGTAAAAGAAGAGACGCTAATTTACAAGAGACAGTTTAAAGAGAAGCCCCACTTTCGGGACAGCCCTTACCCTTAATTAGTTTTGAGAACCAGGGTACAACAAGTGAAATACATAAATCAAAGAAAGAAAGAAAAGTAGGCCAGCCTATCTAGGTAGACAAATCTTAGTGAAGAATCTAGTCTTAAAGTAGACCTTATTAAATAGCTCCTCGCAGCCGGGGCCGAAGAGCAGCTGAGGGTTCCTCTGAGCTTCTGCTAGTAGCCTAGGGGCTACGTTGTTTGCTAGCCTACAAAAGAGTAGGTGGAATTGAGACTTAGCCTTCTTACACTTACAATCCCCTGAGGTAAGTAATGCGTCGAAGTGAAAGAAGCGAAGGTGGTAAGCGACAAAGTCTCCATGCCCAGAACGAGCAGCTATTAAGCGAGCTAGAACCTCTCTTGGTAATTGAAGAGACCGTGGCTTCAAAGACCAATTTTCAAGCCCCAGATCCTTATAGACAGCCGGGAGTGTAGCGCTCCAGAGCTTCTTTGCAAGTCCAATCCCTGTTTCTTTAACCCCCCTCTTGAGCGTAGCAGTACAAAGTGGAGAGAGGGAATTAGAAGGGGGTATCCGCGCTGCTTTCCCAGCAGCTCTGTCCGCGATTTCATTGCCTAGGATACCTATGTGACTAGGGCACCACCTAGTCTGTATTTTCCCAGGGTATGATGACGCTAACTCATGGACTGTATTAAAGATCCCTTGCGATGTGCCACAAGACCGGTATGTTAGTTGAAGCGCAGCCTCAAGGTTGTCGAGGCAAATCCAGCACTTCCTAGCCGAAGGCCAGTACAGGGAGTTTGAAGCTAGTTCTAGTCCATGGAGAGCAGCCCTAGCCTCTGCATCATATATCTCCAATGCCTTGCCGAAGGAGAAAGCCTTAGTATTAAGAATAACCCCCCCTCTTGTGAGACATACACCACCTCCAGTACTTTTGTCGTCTAAGCGAGAGCCTTCGGTAAATACTACCAGATCCGTGGGTGGAACATCAGCTAGAAATTCAAGGAATTTGGCTTTAAAGGGATTCTTGTCTCCGCTAGGGTCTGGTCCCCCTACCTCTAGAAGACGGGCTTGTCGGTCAAAACCCCTGCTCCATGGAGGGTCTTGTATAGGGTCAATCTCTTCAGAGGGAGGAAGGATTCTCCGAGCACGGTAAATAAGCCCAGCTTTAGGGCTAGGGTTATTTACACATCGTTTGAGTGGGTGGTCCGGATCTAGCCGTCGGATTCGGGCGTCTAGTGCTTCGCTTCTTACTATAAGAGCAATTTCAGAGGCTAGAAGGCCAGATTCCATGAGCAGTATCGAGGTAGGAGTAGTCTTATACACCGGAAGAATAATCCTAGCACACTTAGCCACTACTCTGTCTAAGAGAGTCAAGTGACGGCCAATTCGGTTGTTTGTAGTTCCTACTTGGCCTGTTTTAACCCTAGACCGCCCAGGGAATCAGGTCTCACTTCCAAAGTAGGCGATTGACAGAATACAAGCAGTGGTAGCTTGCTTCAGCAAGTGGGATGGAGAGCCTCTTGCTGTGTT